TGTTATTGGTATAGGAAAGTGCAAGGACTATAAGTAGGAGAAGTAGAAGAGAACATACGGAGTAACTTAACTCATAGATCTTAATGCCACGAATGAGGCAGGTTCACTTCACGGCGCACTAACAGCACACTGGCCAAGACGCCGCCAAGATGCGAAAAACCTTCTTTTTGCCACCCGACAGGTAGCAATACAAATCTGTTTATATTATAAGTCCTTTACAAAATGCCATTGAATCGTCGATAATCATCATCATGGTGGTGTATGGTTCGGTATAGCAGTAGTCGGAATGTCACTCCCAACGCCTAGCTCAATATCTGACACTGCGGTCGAGCCACTTGCTCGTCCTTGAGTAGGTGACTGTAAATCCGGTGAGTCACCATAGCAGCTAGCTTCTGTAACTGCCGCATCGGGACTTGTACTTTGTGGCTGACCGGTTATCTCTGGAGGGGTCTCCACTTCGAAATCATTAGGAACCTATACAACGCAATGTCTGTTGACGATGGAAATGTGGACCTTACAAAGTAAGCGAACGTACACCATATGCACGGCACTGCGTATGCAGCAACTACCTGACATAACGAGGAATGCTGAAAACCTATCAACAAGAAAGGCGAACATACCACATCCACTGTGTTGTGTCGACGTGACGCGATGATAAGGAAGCCCTGTAATATATTGAGTACAAGTGCAAAGTATTTGATGGACCAGTGCTCAGCGTAGCGGACTAAAATTGACATGTCCGGGGATCGAACCATGGACCTCCAGCAACAACACACTTACACAATGCGCATGTAATGCTGATAACGTAGAGCATATGTCCCGAGAATATAAGGTCACTGCAGCCTCCAGAAACAAATATACGTTTGAATACCTCGCCAGCCGTAGTCGGTGGGTTGAAGTTTGCCTCAGAACAATGCTCAGCTGGACCAGGCAAGATCTACGGAGAAATACTCTTGTGCTTGCGTGCTACCATCCGGAAAATGGGAATATACTTAAAATTCTGAGGAAATTTTGGAATTTCTCATTGGTTTTTGTATACTTCTAGGTACCCAAACTCATTTGTAAACTTCTATAATTAGTGAGGAAACTCCCGAGCTCAGCTGAGGAGAGCGAACGTATACCCCTCCATCACTAATCTCGACTCACCGTGAATATGAATGATGCCAATCTCGCATAAGTTGCCAGACTAGCCACCACTGCCCAACGCCAGAGTATATTCATCGTGCCTAGCCACAGTAATACATGATCGATAATTTCCCAACACATATATCCTCACGAAAAGGGAAGGGGAAAAGCAGAGGCCGCAGAGCATAGAGAACACCCATCACAATTGTACAGTATAGGATGACGTCGCCAGGGGCCGGCTGAAAAAACAAGAGCAATTCTGCAGCGTCACGCGCCACGAAATTCCAATCCATCAACAGCTTACAGTCCAATCCACTGGCCCAGGGCCGAAGAGCTCAAATAGAAGGTCCACAACAGGGTTGCCAGGACGACCATATGGACCATACCTGAGAGTCGTTGTTGATCAGCAGCAGCAGTGGCAACTACTCACACGCCATATTGTCCAGCTAGCATGTAGACACAATTGTGTACCCAGTTGTGGATGAGGAGGGTTATGATGAAGAACAATATACCCCACCTTGATGATAACAACGAGGC